CCACTTTTTATTTGTTGAGTTCTCTATTGGATATTTATGTTAGTGCTAGTTTCCATCTACCGTCTCTTACCTGTTCATCCATATATTTGCCAAGTTTATGCTGAGTACTTGCTTTGTGCCACACATTTTTCTGGGGATACAAAGAAAAGAAAAATCAAGGGTCTTGTTTACATGTGACTTTCATGTACAAAATTGCCTGAGATATCTTGAAAACAAAGAAATAAAACCTAAACAAATCAATTTCATGAAGGCAATAGTATATGTAATGCAATGAGAGAAGAGTTTCTACTTTAGATAGGATGACCATGCAAAGTCTTTAAAATACACACACACACATATATACACACATAAATGTATGTATGTATGTATGTATGTATGTATTTTAGTTGTAGATTGATGCAGTACCTTTATTTTATTTCTATGTAGTTCTGGGGATCGAACCCAGTTCCTCACACATGCTAGGCAAGCACTTTACCACTGAGTCACAACCCCATGCAAAGCCTTTTTGAGGAGGACTTCTGAACAGGGCCTGAATGATGAGAAAAATATTTTAGATATCTAGGGACAATTCTAAGCAAAGAGACTCACAAGTGCAAAACCTTAGGAAAGAATAAGCTTGGTGTGTTCAAAGAACAGAAAAAAGTCCAGCACAACATAGCATCATTGAGTATTTGGTCTTATGAATAATACTGCTTCAAAGAATCTTTGTATATAAAAATATTTTATTTTTGTAAATAGTTTTGGAACTGTGTAGTCCAATAGTATATGCATTTTCAATTTTGATATCTATGGTGCAGAACTTCTTTTATCCCTTATTCTTTCTCCCTCAACCTTCTCTTTCTTTCTTAGCTCTAAGGAAATTCAGTTTCTGGAGCCTGGCAGGGTTGGACATTTATGTGAAAGGAATTCTTTTTGGGAAATAATGTGCTAAGGGCTGTGAATGTTTGAGAGACTTTTATATATTTGGAAGACAATCCAAAAGTAGGATATAAGTTTATATAGTATATGTTGTGTTAAGTAATATTTGGCTGTCTGAAACACAGTGCTCTCCTTTAACCATTTAATAAAACTGTTTAAATTCAGAAATAATTAACATTTCTCAATTTAAGAAATAATAAATTCCAAGTTTTTCTAGTTACATTTGGATACAGTACAGTATTATAAGTGATTTCTAGTTTGATACTTGGTTGCAACTCACACAGACTTGTGATTAAGTTAAGGGAATTTAAAGAAAAATTGCCACCAGCCAAAGCCTTTGCTAGAGTGTAGCTTTTGTGAAGTATGGCTTTTAAAATACTTTTAGAAATCCTTGATACTGCTACTTTGGTAAATAAATACAATTTTTAAATGCTTCTTTATGAAAAGGCATTATTTACTTTTAAACAGTATCACTTATGATTTTTTAGACAAATTAGAAATTTTAGATTGGCCCAGAACACATTTTGTTTCTTGAAGTGTTTTAATTACCAGGTAAATAAGGAGTGTCAAGTTATACTTGAGAGCATAGAGATGTTTGTTTGAATTTTTTTCAATCTATATTTTTTTAATGGGGGAATATAGGAAACTTTGTCAGATATATCAACATTCTTATGTGCCTAGAGAGAGAAGGAGATATGCAATATGCTTAATTTATTTTTCTTTTTTTTGAAAGAAAAATAAATTTTACTTCCTTTGAGAATTAAAAATAACTTAGAAGAATGATATTAGGAATCTGTGATGGACAGAGAGCATTTTGATTTAACAGATGCTACTGTGATATATAATGTTGATTAGAGTTTTTTTTTAAACTAAGTAAGCTTCTTCAGTACAACTTATAAACAAATTTTAGATGGAAATTGATTTTACTTTGCTTTTTGAATCTGGTATAGATTACTAATAATAAATCAGTTAATTTACATTTGATTTGTAATGATTAAGCAACCTGGTTTTTCTCATTGTCTGCTACAAAGTCATCTAACTAGTTTTAATGTATATATATATATATATATATATATATATATACACTTTTTTACTGAAAATTAAGTTCTTGATATCAAATCTTTATGATAAGGACAGGAATTAGTATTTTATTAGCCTTAATCCATTGTCCTTAAAAGAATAGAAATGTAAAATATGTTGCATGTTTACAGAAATCCATTCCTATTATAATATGTGGATATGTATTTTAATTGTTTGAATCATTAAAACATCTAATTTTTGCCTAAGAATATGCAAATGTGCCATTAAATCTGTTTTTTAAGATTTTTCCAGTTTAATGTCTGAATCCAAATTCATAAAGAGTTGGAAAAATGAGATGTCTGAGCTATAGGATTCACAGGGATTTCATATGAAGCCTATTTAATCAGGATAACACTGTTATTAATATTCATAATGTCAGCTGGAACACAAATGACAGACTATGGGGCCTAAAAATTTTACTTGGTGAATTTATTAAAAGTAGCTTAAAAAATTAATGGAATTTAAGTAAAGTTGGTGAATATGAAAATCTTATGTTAGCAGAAAAAAAATCTCTATTAGAACTTTCTTTAAGATCATTTTGCATTGATGTCTTTTGACAGATTTCATTGGTACTTAAAGAAGAAAGATGCATGAATGGTCATTTAAGAGGATTTAAACACATTGGCACATTAATTTTTACATGAATAATAAGTACTTTCCAAAAGCAATTAACTTACAGTGTACAAGATATGAATTGAAAAATAAGACTCTGACATCAAGGGCAAAGCAAATGTGCTGTACATTTTAAACTTAGTGACAGGATTTTTTAATATTTTGATTTATTTTATTTTTATAGTTTGCAGAGGATATGACTTAGAATATGGTTATATTAATGCATTTGAAAGCAAATTAGAAGGGCATTAATTTAATGCTCTCTTCCTCTCAAATGATATTGGTATTGTGTTAAGTATTATCTTCTCCAAGTCATTTGCATTTATTGAAGAAGTAAACATTTGTTGTGCTAATTGCAGTATTTTATTAGAGAACATGTTCAATGCTTTAGAAAGGCAAAGGGATGATACCTATTAGGTTTAGTGGCAGAAATACATGTTTTAACAAACACTTTTGATAGCATTACTTAAAAGTATAATAAGCTTGTGAAAGTTCTGTGTGAAAAGTTAAGGACCATCTGACTAGTAGAGTAGTAAATTCATCCTGAATTTTAGACTAGGAAAGTAAAAACTTAAGAATGTTGTGAGACCAGCATGTACTTTATGTTGCACAGGCTTATTACTTTTTACATTTTAAAATATGCTTATTATGGAAGTTATACCAGTATTTAAGTTTTTGTTTTTATTATTGGTATTCATTAAAAATAATTAATTTTAGAGTATTCTGTGAAATCAGTAAAATTATTTTTTAGAAACTTTTATAAAAATTTCAGTACTTTTGAAAACATAGCTAGTTATTATTGACTATCAGTCTAATTAGGCCTTGAGCCTTGCCATTGAGAGATCATAGGTATTCATAATGGTAGTTCAGATGGGTACTAGAAGGTTCACTTCCAGTCTGTGTTTAGGAATTGTCCTGTACGTTTTGAAACTCAGAGCTTTATTGGAAAAAACATTAACTTAATGGGAGTATTTACAAATTACCATAGTTTTATACTGTATGGAATGAAATCAAATGGGTATACTAGTTAATATTATTTGTCTAGTGGCTTTTAAAGAATGTGTCATTGGATTTTTTGTTTTGGGCCCGGATGTATTCACTTATGTGCCCAGGAGAGGGCAGCATTTTACTATGTCAGGCTCATAAAAGAATTTGCCCTGCTTAGACTGTCAATGTTTCTTGTAATTACTCCCAGTATATTTGTTGCTTGCTTATGAATTAACTTGCATTTATGGAACTAAATCATTCCAATCATTTAATTACACCTGAGGAGCTGAACTATAATTGCTTGCTTCCAACTAGGATCTGATATGGCTTGAGCAGTATTAATTTGGTGTTTACTTTTCTGAGTGCTAAAAGCATTAAAATGATTGTGCAATGGGATTACATTTTACTAATTGCTGGCATTCATTAGCTGGGTAAATGATGAGGAAGAGTGACTGTATATTGCAGAGGGATAAAATTATGGTTTTAAATAGTATATTACTAAGCACATTAAAGCCTGTAAGACATGTTTTAAAATACTCCAGAGGTTATTAAAGACTGTATTTTCTACATGTCTTGCTATATGAATCTCTTATTAAAATACTTCAATTATTATTAACCTTTTTGGGCAATATGTAGGGAAATGGCTTCATTGACTGGAACATATTTCTTTGATATTAATAACTTCCTATATTTTCAACTAATCCAAAAGTAAATGAGGAACTTAGAAAAAGATTGCCAACTCCAGATCAACATATTTAGAGAAAATTGGAAAAGGAGAAGCTTACTACAGCTTTATTTGAGGACTTTTTAAAGAACACAGGGTTCTAGCTGTGAGGTAAATCTAATTTTATTCCCTTTTAAAGCAAGACAAAAACAAAACAAGAAACTTACATAGCTTTTACCATGTTTACTATGAAAACAAGTACAACAGAGAAATACCAATAATTTCACAATTTAATGATTTGACTTCTTTGATTTAAAAATTACAAGATTAAATTGCTTTTACAATTGTTAAATGTTTTATATGAATATACATAGCAAACTCAGATTAATAAATTTGAAATTTTTGGTGCACAAATTATAGCATAAACAATAAAATTTTTTAGATGCAAGAAATTATAGTTGTAGAAACACTAAATACATTAAATGTTCTGTAACCAAAGCAGCAAAAATGTCTAAAAAGCTTAACTTGAACTATATTTATGAAAATATAACTGTGAGGAAAAGAACCTTTTTCTAAGAAAAAGATTTTATTTCACCTGTTGAAATAGACTTAATTGTCCTATTGTAAATGTTTTCAAAAACCATTTATCCTGTTAATTCTTTGTTAAACAAAGGTAAGGTTTAGGTGTGTTCTGATATATTGTTTTAAGTTTATTTATCTAGAGTTGGCTTTATTTTAGCTTCAATCTTGGAGTAAAAACCAGGGACATTGCCAGAGCAAATAAGAACAAAAGTACAAATGGAGGACTGGTCAAAAGGTAAGGACTTTTAAGGTATTAATATGAAGCCCCAGGTGTTGTGGCAGTTCAAGGCACTGAATGAAATGTGTTTGTTCTAACCAATATGTGAGGTAGACATGCACACATGCAAACATATGTGCACTTGGGCGTGTGCGCACTCACACACACACACACACACACACACACAAAGGATACCCACACAAAGAGATCCATTACAAAAGAGACACAAAGACCTTAGAAAAAGAGACATACACGTGCACATAAATAGAGATAAACATAAAAAAGACACTGAGAGGAAGAGGAAAAAGATGCACAGAGAAATAAAAACAAACATACAAAAAGAGAAGATGGTGACACAGAGAAAGAGAGATACAGAGGCACACTCACAGAGAAAAAGACACAGAAAGGGATGTAATTAGAGAGGAAAACACAGACAAACATAGACACATATACAGAAGCAAACAGAAAGAAACACAAACAGAGAGACTCAGAGTAAGAGATACAGTGAGAAGATGATGTACAGTGAGGGAGAGACAGGAAAGAAAGACACACAAAACTAGAAGCACAGGCATACACACAGATAAACACAAAAAAAAGACTCTCAGAGGCAAAAGTCATGCATAGTAGAAGAGACAGAAAACATACATACACTACACATAGAAATAGACTGAGACACATAGATATAAGAGACAGATATAGACATTCACATCTTGAGATACACCCAGAGGCACTTCAAGAGGGAAAGAATCAGAAATAGCAAGAGAGATCTGCAGAGATATAAGATATGTAGAGATGTGGGGATGGAAACAAGGATTCTTTGAGAAAGAGAGAGAGACACAGGAAGAGACAGAGAGAAGCAAATACAGTTACATATAGGCCTAGAACACAGCCTAAGAGACAGAACAATCGTACACAGAAACTCATAGACTGAGAGCCTGAAATAGATAGACAGATAAATGAGTGGTAGTACATGTAAGCAATATCTACATGGAACAGGGAAAAAGAGGATTTAAAGTCTATTATGGTAAAATGTTGAAGATATGGAATCCTTAGAAAAATGAATCATTTGAATATAATACTATTGAAAACTTAAACCTTTATATACATCTTTTTCATTTCTTCTCAATTTTATAATTTAAAATATAGAATTCTTACTAAAGTACTATATAATCTTTCCCTTTTGTATTTCCTTTTACCCATAATAATGCTCTTTTCAAATTCACCTATATTCAGGCACATTATTCCTTGTTTTAGAAAGTTAAAGGCTTTTTGGGGTGGGGGCTGTTTCATAGTCATTATGTTAAATCAGTTGATTACATATTTTTTCCTGAAGTATTAAAAGATATTATGCTTTCTGAGTACCTTTTTCTGAATTCTGCATTGTTTTTGACTTCCATACAAAAACTTATATAAAAGCATATATAACCTATATGAACCCTCTTGCTGTTAATGCTATCGTTAGTAATTTCCTTTCTAACTTGGGACTCTGGGCTGCTTGTTACAAATTTAGCATCCAGATGACTTATTGAATTGTGTGTAAAGTAGTAATACATAATATCTGAGTAATGTGATTAAAGGTTCTTAATGTTAATTGTTTTAATGTATGGACTATGTGACATTTAATTTTGACCTATTCTCTTTATATTCAAGTTTATGATAAGAATATATTGGTGTGTGGTTAACTAATTTTTGTTGTAGATATTTTTATTTATTTATTGTTTTTGCCAGTGCTGGGTATCAAACCCAGGACCTCATGCATGCTAGGCAAGCACCCTACTATTGAGCAACATTCCAGTCTTCGTTTCAGGAGTTCAGAAAGCATTCTCCTCAATTTATTTACAAAATAAGAAAAAGTAAGCAAATTGCACCGTACCTATTGTTTATATTCCCTATTCACAGGTCACATTGCTGTGAAAATCATATTGTTCAAATCAGAGGCCATAGGGCCTTTAAACAACCAAAGGAATTAATGTTTAATGTATCTAAAAAGTGGGAAGACAAGAAGGAATTACTTCTTATAATTGTAAAAGTGACCATTCTTTTTCTGGCCTTGTTATTAGAAACACTGCTGAAATATTTTAAGTCCAAAGAGTTGATAAGGTAGATAATGTAACAGATATAACCATTTACAATTTTGTTTGTTTTTATCATTATAGACATCTTGGAAAATGTAAAGCCAAGGTTGGTAGAAGGGAGTGGTGAAGATATCTACAAAATATGTCCAACTTTTTTTAAAGAACTTAAAAACAACACTGACTGTATTGTTTTAGTCGATAGAAGTATATATACTTCTAAGTGTGAATACATATGTGTTGCCATATGGGGATTGGTACCAATAATGTTTTGTCTTTTGTGAAAACTTTCTATTTTTCAGCATTTTCTTTTGTCTGCTTTTAAGAAATGAAATGTCATAATCAAAGGAGTTTATGTTTATGTAAAATCAACCCTTAGAAAAAACAACTTGACCTATGATTGATTGCTTAGCCCTCTTTAGCACTTACACTTAGCCCTTTTGTAAATGTATATTCTGTATCCTAGAATTCTGCCAATTGTGGATGGAAAATATGTGGAAATAAAAATTGCTTCTGTACTGAACATGGACAGACATTTCCATTTGTTATTATTCCTGAAACAATACAATGTATCAACTATTTACATAGTATTAGGTATTAAAATTCATCTAGAGATGATTTTAAAGTATATGGAAGGATTGTAAATAGGTTATATGCAAATTCTATGACATTTTTTTATAAGGGATTTAAGCATCTAAAGATTTTGATATCTATGGGGGTTCCTGTACCAATTCCCCATGGATACCAAAGACAACTGTACTCATTTACTTTGTAAGAAAAAAGGCATGGAGATCAGAAAGCTTGTATGAATAATTATATGGAATAATGTTGTAGTTTCCTGAATATTTTTTACATTAATTTAGGAAATTTTTATTAGCAGAAACATGGTCTAATGGTTTTATGGCATTCAATGATCCTTAGGAGATAGTTTATGTATTATTTATTGATAAATGCTTCTGCCATAAGTATATATAATTCTAATAATGTAGGTTAAAATGAGGGCTAGATACCAGTTAAATTTGGAAAATTGTGAGAAACTTATTTAAATTTAGAACCTTTAGGGGTCAGTGTTCCCTAAGAAAGGTTAAAAAAGGTTACTATGCATATACCAAAATTAAATATTAAATCTGCTGTCTTTTAAATATTTTTTACAAAGTAAAAATAAGAAATGGTGAGAATTCCACAGCTTGAAGAAGCCTTAGACAAAAACCTTAAAGTTTATTATTTAAGAATCATTTACTATGCTTTCAAAACACAGTAGTTACTTTTATGTATTATCTTAATTTAGATATGAATTGCATGTTTTTAAACTAATTGGCCTTTATGGTTAAAGTGAGCATTATTCTAAATCAGGATTCTTTGTACTCATTTGAAACAAGGTGTGAAACCTCTTCTAAAACTACCTGTGTTAGTAGAATCCTTACATGTTGCAATTTATTGAAGTCTAGTAAATATTTTGAAAAATCTTATCTTACCAAATTTAAATAAAAAACAACTCTCATCCTCTTTATTCTAGAATTGGACTAGCAATTATCTTTTATAGTCATGATTCTTATGGTTTTACTGTGAAATAAATAATCGAAAGATTTTTTCTTAATAAATAAAATTTAACAAAAGGTAACTTGTATATTTTTAGTGTCTTATTAAATTAGAATACTGTTTATTCATGCTTAGCATTTTATTTATTTGTTTGTTTATTTATTTACTTGGTGGTACTGGAGGTTGAACCCAGGGCCTTGTGCATGCAAGCACTCTACCAGCTGAGCTATATCCCCAGCCCCTCATACTTAGCATTTTAAATCTGTACTACCATCTACTTCTTTTATTCATTCACCTTTCGTTTTGCAAGGTATTTAGTATTTTACCTTTTGTTCATCTGTTATTCTGCAATGAAATTATAACTGAAACTTGCATGATTTGCAAACTTTTGTAAGATTAAACAACTAAAGAAATTCTCTAGAAAAACATCTATGATGCCTTTAAATGTCACTGATTATTATGATGAAAATATGATTGTAGAATCTCAATTGTTTTTCATAAACTTGTTTAAGGCAGAAAGGAACGAAATGGATTAGAATGAACATTCATTTCTACCAAAAAGATAGCTGGTAGAAAAAAAATCTGTAGGAATTATGATTAAGAACTTATTGAAACTGAAGGTTTTCAACAGATCTAGATAACTAATCAGTAGTAAATAATATTTAATAAATGTAAGTAATGGCATATATTCCCTAAATAGTAATTTAATTAGTAATTACTAATTTTAAGCTTATTTCCTATATTGGAAAGTAGAGGTGAACTGTATTGGAAGATCAACCCATTTAATAATTTCAATAAAGTATTATGATAGAAACAACACAAGTTTTGGAGCTAGATAGATCTTTTAATTTTTCACTTACTAACCACCTCGACTTGTATACAAGTTCATAACTACTTGCAAGCCTAAGTTTTCTTGTGGAGAAATGGAGAAATAATCTTCGTGAATATTAGGTTTGATGTATGGTAAGGCCCTACTACAATGCCTGAAATAGGAAATGAATTAATATATTTCACATATTTTCACTAATGTGGTGGTGGTAGTGATTACAAAGTCTAAAAATAGATTGCTGACTAAACGATCTTTAAATAATGATTGTTATATCTTATTCTTTCCAATTATAGAATTAAGTATTAAAGTTTCAAAAATATTAGGAAATATTAACCATATCAAATACTGTTGTTATCAGTTTAATAAGTCTGTTCTCTTCAAATGTAATACTCATACTATCATTAGAAATTTGATTTTTCAAAGAGGAATAGTTTATGTTTGTGTATTTGGTAGAATGTAATAGAGAATCAGTAATACTCATTAAGGGTAATATCTAATTTGGCTATATTTGAATTCTGATTTCAGTAAAAACTATTCAGACTAGTGACATCACAAAATATATGCCTTTTCCTTTTGGC